TTTTGTACTTCCTTTACCTCAATTAATTTGGAATCAAGTTGAATCAGATCTCATAAATAAAAAAAAAATTTTAATATCTATTTTTTTATTTATAAAATTCAAATTTAAAATTTTATTTAAGAAAAATTAAGTTTCTTTTCTTTAAACCCAAAAATCGTTAAGAATTTAATCTTACTATTTTGATAGAGTTTTTTAAAAATATATTAAGAGTTTAATTATAAAATAATTACATATCTCATTTTCATTAATAAAAATTGAAGATATCACATATATTATTTATGATTCATACATTACAAAAGAAGATAAAGAACTTAAATTTCATAATTCATAACATTTTTTAACATGTATAAATTAAACTCTACTAAAATGTCATAAATTAAACTCTAAATTTTCTTAAAATATATGATCAAAACAAACACAATAAAAGAAATTCATCTACATCTATATGAAATAATGCTGCTATATTAGTATTTATATCTATGTAGAATAGTGGAAGGGGAAGAACAAGCATATTCAGTGTATGTCACATCACAACTATTTGGGCTGTTAGTGATAAAGGTTTATTTGCATCAGATGGGGCGTTAAAGGGCTTAATTACATCATTTTTAATTTAAAGGTTTAAATGCTAATTTAAGATAAATTTAAGAGCTTAAGAAGGATTTTTGCTTATAAAAAATAGTTTTACCTTTAGGCCGAATTACTCTCTGTACTCATTAGATTTAGTTATCAGAAAATTTATTGAATAGAAAAAGAAAAAAATTAAGATGTTTTTAATTAAAAGTATTAAAATAGTTAATAACAATTATATAATAAATTTAATATAATTAAAATTTGCACTTTTTAAATTTAACAAATTTAATGCCACACACGTTTTTTTTTTCTATCATCAAAATTTATAAAGATATTATTATTACTCATTAAAATTCTATATTTATTCTCTTTCAATTTTAACCCTCAAGCCTACCTATTAAAATACCAGTACTTCTTAATTATTTCTCAATAATTGTCACGTTCTTATCTTTATTTGGGAGAGGAGGCTAATAATGGGGCAGTGACGTTGTTTTCTTCGTTTGGACAGGGTGGGACGTCTACAGCAACCAACATATGGAGGATGCATGCCTTCTTTTGGTCTTTGTTAGAGGACAAAAGTCTTCTTGGAAACACAAGTCCATTAGAAAAAAATATTTCATAATATATTTAAATAAAAATTGTTAACTAAAGCAAACAACTAAAATCATTTAGTGATACCTTTTTCAATAAAAAGAAAAAATATTGAGTTTAATTTTCTTTAAATATAAATAAAAGATTTTACATTTGAATTATATGATATAAAAGATAGTGAGTTAAGAGATAAAAAAATTATTTTTTATTATATAATTTAAAATTAAAAATTTTGATAAATAAATTAAACTTTATAGAAAGTGTGATGAGTAATTTAGACCAAAGATAGTATCATTTGTTAAAATAGTTGAAAATTAATTATATGAAAAGATAAATAGTAACTGAGGATTACTGTGCTATTCATCACAGACCTTGAAAAGGATGCTGGGGAACGTAAAGGGGTTCCTCTACTAGCTCTGCATTCGATACGAGCTGCAAAATTGGAATCGAATATTATGTAAATAAAACACTTAGAGAGACAGATGTGGAGGAATGAAATTGAGACATAAAATAAAAAGTGGACCTTGTTAATCAAATTGTTTCTCTTCAGTATCGACAACAGCAATGGTCCCAATATCCTCGACTCTAGAAACCATGCGAAGATTTTCACCAACAATCCAGCCATGCGCGGAGCTGCGCAACGTATATACCAAATTCAAAACAGAGATACATAATTAATGTAACTAAAGATGATTGAAATGTAAGGAAAGCAGACATAATTTCACCAACATCAATTTCATGAACCTTTAACGTTGGCTTTGAGATAAAATTCATGGTTGCCACCGCCGAGATCGAGCTGCTCCACGGGCTTGTACACCGCCCCTTCTGCCTTGAACAACCCCATGTCGACGGTATTGGTTAAAGCAATGTACCAACGAAAAAGGCTTGGCACATATATATATATATATATATATATATATATATTTAGATATACGGTGTAGACACGAGTAAGTGGGCGGAGATTGCGAGAAATTACCGGTGATCCTTTCAATGAACTAGTTGATTTAGATTGATAAGGATATATTATATTATTGCCGTGGAGTAGATGGAAAGGAAACGAAAGGATATCCATTTAATTTTGATCTTGTGATTATAGTTTGGCGGTGGAAACTCAATATCATATTGGTCTTGCTTAATTTGATGTTAGACTTAATGATTGTTGTTATACTTAATAATTGTTGTTATACTTGATCTTGATGGCTTATAAAATACTAGTTAATATTTATTATTGATAATGGTATAGTTATAATGATAAAATTGTAAAATTATAATAATAATGTATTATTAAATAAGTGTGACGTTTGATGAAATGAATAAATATATATAATATTATTGATGAATTTTTAAATAAAAAAATTAATTACGTAACAAAATATTATATTATAAATTTATAATATTTTGTAATATTGTAGTTGTATTATTTTTAATTTACTATTTAATGGCTTAAAATTAATTTAGAAATTAATTTTTTTAATATTATAATACAAATAATCAATAAATTGATAAAATCAGCCGTATTAAGCATGTGTAACTGTCACAATTGTTAGTGGTTCTACTTCAACATAAAATTAAGCCCACATGGCCACAACCCATGTTCGCAACTTGTCTTTTTAGAGTGTGCTGCTGTAGTTAGTTAGAGATGACTACCATTAAATAAATCTTAGGGGATATTTGGATTAGGGTTAAAAAAATTAATAGTTAATAATTAATATTTGATGGTTGATAATTTTTGTTATTTATAATTTAAAGTTTTTAATCTATTTGATTAATTATAATCAATAAGAAATATCTATAATCTAAACACCTACTACTACCCTATAAAACAATTGAAGGACAAAATAATATTTATATTTTTTTATTTATGAGTGTTGTAGTTCAATCTATCTTACATAAATTACGTTATTTTGAATTATTAATGTAGGGATTAACCTCTAATATTAAGAGCCTTTTTCTCCATCAATAATTTATCTGAAGTACAAGTTGTAGAGAGCAAATTGTACTTTAAGTTTACGCTTTTACAATCTCTACTCACATTAACTCTAGCTATATTCTCAATTACGTTTCTTTTTCTTGTAAGGAAAAGGTCTTGATTCTCGAACAAATATTACATAATATGACTGTTTCACGTGCTTCGCAAAATAAGCACAAAGATTTTATACCTAAATCGAAGGAAGATTTGGTACAAGTTTCCACACATCCACAAGTTTCCAAAGTAGTAGAAGAGAAAAACACACCACTTAAACACTTGGTTGTTAGTGGTTACAACTAGAGCAAATATTAAAAAACTTAATTTTGGCTTATAAATTTACTGATTTTCTTTTTCCATCATTGAATTACACCCGATTTTCTCATTCTCGGCAACTGATTATTTTGGTACATCTGTTGTAATTGAATTTTAACAACTCCAGGAGGATTATAATGCTTGTCTTTGTTAGCTTCATCGCTGGTGTGGGTCAGAGGGTGCGCATTCATTGCAGGAAAAGCAACTTTTTTTTGTGGCCAGTAGGTTACCATTGCTACTATATTGTTGGAAAAATAGGGGCGGAGATATAAAAGAGAATAGTTTTTTTATCACGATGGAGGCAAATTTCTAAAGAGATAATACATATTAAGGGTATTTTTTGTTATAAATTTATTAAAAAATATAAAAATTAAAATTAATTTCAGTGTTATTATTATGTGAATGAATTTAATTAAATGATTATAAATTAAAAGTCAACTTTTGTTTTTTTAATATAAATTTATGATAAAAAATATATTTATTATACTCTTTACATGAGGTTAGAAAAACCCAAAAGAGAAAACTAAAAATTAAGACAGTTTGTATTTTAAGTATAAGAATTGTTTGTGAAATTGTTTAAGTTTTTTCATTAAGATTTTTAATAAGAAATATTCATTAGAAATATTTGAATCTTATTATTATTATTTTTGACATTTTAATTGGTAGAGTATTCTGATTTTTGTAATTTCAAAATAAAATATATAAGAATTTTTCTAACATATTATAAAGATATAAATTAATTAAGAATATAACTAATGCATATTTCTTTCCTTAATTAACGTTAAAAAATAAAAGTCGACTTTATTCCATTGATTGTTTCATTTCAATTAAAATAATGCTAGTGATAAAATTAAAACCATTTTTTACATTTTTTTCATAATTTAATATAAAAATAAATTAATTGCACCCTTAAAGAGAAAATACTAATATGACAAATGATTTTTTTAATTATCTAATTAATTTTTAAATAAAAAAGTAAAATTTATATTTTTAAATAAAAAAATTAAAGGTTTACTACTCCATTTTAAAAAATTGACAAAGTTTTCATTTTTAAATAAAAAAAATTGATAAAATTGATATTTTTATCTATACCTTTTCTTTTTAATTTTAATCAAATGTTAAAAAAATACAATATACAAAAGCCTTACTCCTTCTGTATCGAAATAAATTTTTTTTTTATTTTTTTTAAATTAAATATTTAAAGCAATTTATATATTTATCTATATAATCTTTAAAAAATAAAAAAAATAAAGTAACAATTATCCTACAACAGAGAAAGTAAACAACTTCTTGTCCTTTTTAGCTCTATTGGTGGTGAGGTGCGCATCCATTGAATGAATAGCACCGGTTTTTGCGGCCATAAGGTTACAACAGCATTGTTCTAAAATTAAGAGCAGAAATAAAAAGTATAAACAGAGAAATTTCAGGCCGACTTGTAATAAGAAAAATATAAAAAGTTCTGTACAATTATTTAAATATTTTAAACCAATCACCTATGTGTGTAAATTTATTAATAATATTTAAATTTTTTCACAAAATATTCTTACACTTTTTTTTTTCTAAATTGACTTAAAAATCTCATTTTTAATATCAAATAAAAAAAAAGGACTTGAATTTTTGGCTAATACTTACAATCATTCTCGGAATATATATTTTTCTAAACAAGAAGTTAATATGATGAGGACTGATAAGGAATTTGCAACTAACAGTGATGGTTTGGCTTGAGGTGGTGAAGCGAATTATAGGGGGTTTGAGATTGAGGCCTACAAGTGGTGACCACTTTGTTGGGTTTTTCTTTTTTTGGTATTAATTTCTCGGTATCTGATATTCACATTAAATCTCGATTAATTCAAAATTGAGAAAGGTCGGATCCTATTAAAGAGAAAATTTTCCAACGCATGTTTTTACATTAACAAAATTCGAATTCAAGATCTTATTTAAAGAGAATCAAACTCTTTCTATTCAGACTAAGAGGTCATTGGTCTCTACTAAGGTTTTTGTTAAAGATGCAACAGCTCTAAGTTGCTAATTTGAGTCAGAATATTTTGGAGGAGATCGATGAGCAATGATTGGTCTCATAATTTGATTGTAGCAGGCTAAACAAGTCGGGTTTGACAAGTTCAAATCGAGATATAACTTTATTTTTGGCTAAAATCAAGGGATGGTGCGAGAAAATATAGGAAGATATATAATTGGTCGAAAAAGATTTGTTTCCTTTTGGGGTAATTCTTTTAATTTAATTTGTGTAGTTTGTTTATTTGGGTTAAAGTAATCCAAAGTTTGAGCTAAGTAGAAATGCTCATTTGGTTGTTAGGAACTGTATAATAATAACTTTTCTGTTGGGTTTCTAGAAGGATTTGTTGGCAGTCATTTATGATTCATACGTTCTTTTACAACACTTTCATTGATATTTATAAGATTTATTTTCATAAAAAAAAAAACTAATTAAAACAATAAATTGATTTAAGTGAAACCAAGAATTGAAGTTTGACTTTACCATAACCAATGGATATGGAATTCAAATTGATAAGTTTTTACTGTATTTATTATTCATGTTATAATGAAATTTTTTATTCTATTAAATATGCTTTCTCAAATTTTAAATATATTTTTCTATTAATCAATTATAATTCTATATTAATTTAAATAACTAAAAATACATTATGTTCTATAAAACTTTTTAGTTTACTTAAAAACTTTTGAATTCACTTCTCATTAATGTTGCATAAATCTCACTTCGTTCAATTCCTAGTATATACTTCTAGAATATACTTCTAGACGCTTGTTAACTGGTATTTTATCAAAGTGGATCAAAAGTTGATATGACCAACTTTGACTCAACACATGGAGAAGAAATGCTGGGGTTGGATTCGTTGGTCAGTGCAACTCAAAGAGCAAATCATTGACAGAACTCTTCTCTGAGCCTTGACAACGACGGAAAATGGAGAGGAACGTCAAAATGTTGGATAGGAATGACGAATGAATCTTGTCATCAACCAAATGACAGGAGAAGTTTTGTTGAGCAAAATTTATCAACTTTTCTCCTTCAAAACTTGGAAACTCATTGATGATATCCATCTAAAGCAAACTCCGGACAAACAGAAATGATCGAAAATAAAAATTGAAAATAAAATGGAAGTTGTTTTTCTCATTTGTCACAAATAATCTTGCACTTCTTCACTATAACAACTTGATAACATCTTTACAAAAAGGAGAAGGTTACAAGAGAATGGTGGGAGAAAAAGAAGAAATCTAGAGATGCTAGCCTTGTAGATGTTTGTAGAATTAAGGGAACTTCAAGTTATTGTACTTGTTTCCACGGTGTAGATGAAGAAGATTCTTCCTTAAGCACTTTAAAGGGAAATTTTCTCTGAGATATCTAAGGAAGAAACTTAAGGAGCCATAAACAAACCGTTTCTTGTGAAGTCTTGAACTTCCATGGGTATTTTCATGGAGCTTGGAGCAAGTTTTTAGTGTAAGAAGGTGAGAACTTGTAACGCCTCCCTTAGGTATCCCTTGGACCTGTAAGAGTCTTGAAATAAAAATTTTAAAAAAGAATGCAATGCAGGTAAAATATACAAAGAGTATGAATGATTCCTTAAAGAACTTGCTTGCATTTTTTCTTTTTTTGAAATACTTGTATATTATTTTAAAACTATATAAATATAAGAGAAATTCACTAATACATAAGTTTTATACACTATCCTTATATAAAATCTTAATCATTTATCTTTCCATTTTCAATAATTAAAATTTATCATAATTTTTTAGATAAAAAATATAATTATGTTTAATAAATATGAATAAATTTCAACTATTAAAATTGAAAAGATAAATGATTGAGATTTTGTGTCAATATGGTGTGTAAGATTTGTATGTAAGTAGATCTTTACTCTCTCACACACACACATATATAAGAGACAACAACTTGTACATGGAAACCAATATAACTAAAAGAACCTTAAGAAAAAATATTCAAGTACTCAAAGTTATGAAATAACGAAGGCTAAGGCTCTTCTTCTTCTTTTTTATTCCCCCCATTTATAGATGATATACATACATGATATACATACAAATATAGTCATGTGTGAGTGCCTTTCAAAAGCTTTCCAAAACAATATAAGTGAAACTATCATTTTAGTATCACATTGATCTACCTTGACATCAAGCATGGTAAGGTCCTAGTTTTTACGTACAATAAGCACAAGAGACCTACACCAAATTAAAACTCTCAAGTTGTAGCAACTAATAATCCAAGCTATTGATTTGAAACGAGGGAATTATTTTTTTATTAGCCAACAAAATTAATTTTTATTATTAACATGAAATGGGGGAAGATGGCATGAGTTAAAAGCCCAATAAGTGTAATTTAAAGCTATAAATTTGGGTCCTATTATTCATAAAAACAAACAATCACAAGTCATGATATACAAACATGC